ACGCCTATGCAAAAGTAATCCAGAATACCCCTACAAATGTAGAGATAATATGAACACTGGGTGTGTCTACATGTGCATGTACTGCATAGTAAGTTACTGCACAGCAGCGGTTTTTAGGCCAGCGTCTACACGTGCAGCTGTTAAAGTGCAGTAACGCTGTGTGTGGACTGACTTGGGACTAACTAATTGGGCGTAAAATTTACGCCCAAGTCAGTGTAAGTCACCATAGTTACTGTGTAGTATGGGTGTACGCATGTAGATGTGCACCCATACTGCTCAGTAATTTTCGGTTACTCTGCAGTAACCTAAATTACTGTGCAGTAAATGTGCCCGTGTCCACTTGAGCCTGCATGGAAGTTCCAGGCACAGCATCCTGGTAGGAATCCCATCAGCCTTTCCCCTCCCAGTAGCTGAGAGAAGGTATTCAAATGCCCTAGTCTTCCCCTTCTCTATAGGCTTCTTCTTTAGACCTTCAAAAGTAAAGGCCTCTAATACAGTTTTTTGGCCTTGTTTTAATTTATCAAATGCAAAGGCTTGTTTGTGGTGTGGCCTTCCTCCGTCACAGGGATTTTGTTTGTTTTACACTTTCCCTATTCTTAATTGCTTTATTCTTGTTGCTAAAAGGATCTCAGTACTTTAAAACCTCACGAGAATGACAGGAGACAGAAAAGTGGGAGCAGCAGAAACAGCATGCCATGGAACAAATCAAGAATCCGGAGCCACCCACCCCTCATGGAAACACATGCCCGAGTTACAATAGACCCTGGCAATCCCCAATTGGCCTTGTCAGCCATCTTCGGACCAACAGATAAGGCAACTGTAGAAGACAATCATCCTCAACTGCGAGGGACTGCCAGTGATGATAATGATTTTTGTTGCTTAACTGGAGCAATAGAACTGATAAACTCTTGATGCTCTATAAATCATCCATACCATAATTAGTAGTTTTTAAAAAAATAAATTGCCACCTTCTCCTGGATGCTTATCTTGCTGGGATCCTATGACCCCAGCTGACTTCCTGCCCTTTGGGCGGGGGGCTGGACTCGATGATCTTCCGAGGTCCCTTCCAGCCCTGATGTCTATGAAATCTATGAAATCCTTGGAATCCTTAGCACATGGGCTATCGTAAATTGTATACGTCACAATTACATTTTGAGCTTTGCAGGTATACTCTTAATCTAGTCAAGAAACTATGCAAGGAGTTCACTGATAGAACATGAACTTTTAAAAAGTAAGATTTCCCAGGTTTGCTATAAATGAGAAGCACGCTACTTTATGTACTGTTAAATCTGTGAGGGAATAATCCTGGGAAGTGGTGAATCTCTAACTTCAGTGTGAGGTGCATAAGTACACTGCACACATCAGGATCAGCCACTTCTTGACTCAGTTCAGTTTCATCAGTGGGGAGGCAACAAGGTCTCTTTGATAGGGCAGTAGAGTGGAAGTCAGGAGGCTGATGTTATTTTTCCAAATCTCCCAGTACCCTGTTGTGTGACGTTAAAGAAATGATTAATGACAGCATTGCCATGTAAAAACTGGTTTACATTTGCCCTTGTAGTATGTGTCCACGTCTATCCAGTAATAGACAACTGTTCACTGCAAACAGGTTGCTGCCAGCACCCTCGCTATCTAATATTGAGATACTGTCATAGTACACGCTGTAGTCATCTATCCTCTCTGGACACTGAGATAACTTAACCTGTTGCGGCCAGTGTTTCATTTCCAATGGTAGAAATGTTTCCAGAACAGGGAGTAATAGGCCTGCAACTGCCACTTTTCCCCTGCTCCTCGCACGTTCCGTAGACCAGGAGTGAGTGACCCTGGCCTGGGGAAAGCATGAGGAGCAGCAGCTGCTCCAGTTCTCCCTTGAATAAGTATGAACTATTGCATGTGGATGAAGGAGACAATACTATTGCCCATGTGGATTAGAGTAGCATGGCAATGTCCTCCCCCACTTCTCGTTCCAGGGTCCCTGACATGAGGAGCTGGGGAGTGGGCAGGAAACAAGCAGTGGCTCCTCCTCCCCTTCCAGTCAACAGGAGGAGTGGGAGCAGCTGTCACCCTCACCTTCTCCGGAGTGGGATGACCCCAGTCTGGGAAAGGCACAGTAACCTTTCCCCACTGCTCAACTCCTCCTGGAACCAAAGGAGACAAGCAGCACCTGCTACTCATGCTCTTCCCAGACCTGGGTTACCCTAGTCTCAGGAAGGCACAGAGAGTATTTCCCTACCAATCAACAAATCCTGCTCTCAGGGAGGAGCCAAGCAACAAAGAAATGTGCAGATGTTTGCTCTCCTGAAAGAAACTCTCCTAGGAGCAACTTTTGCCAGGTCACTGATGATTTATTTTTCTCCCAGAACTGCCATTTTTATTCTGGGAGAAACTGAGAGTGAGCCACAGCTCCAGGAGAGCCGTGTTTCTCCTGGTAGAAATGTAACACCTGTATGTAGCCACTCGCTTACAAAAGCTATATAAATTAGATTGTTGTTAATGTGCTGCATGTCCAGACCCTCATCCTGTAGCTAGTTGAATACAATGGAAACCCAAATGTAGCTGAGGTGGTTAGTTACCAGGAGGTCCATTAGTCATATTACAGCTGTAACATAAATAATAAATCATTCATTCAATAGAACTTCAACAAAATAATAATTATGATTTGTCTTGTAATACTATGGGAGCTGACATCATGTAATTTAAGCATGTCTCATAACTAAGAGGTAAATAAATCCACTCTCTTCACATAATTATTTTTTTTTAATTGCCATTTTCTGTCTGAATTCAAAGCTGCTGCTTTCTTTACTAAGAACTAAGAGTCTGGTTATTTCTGCATTACTCCACTGGAACATAAGTTTTACTGCCAAGAAGGAAATGCATCATACTTGAGATAGGCCAGTCTAGATTCATGGGGGAATTTCTTCATAGCAGATGTACAATTTTAATAAGATGTCTAAGTTTCTGTGTCCTTGCATTACCCCTCTTATTTGCTCTTTCTTTTAGAATATGACTTTGCTGGATGAAGATCTATAATGAAGTTATGACTCTTCCTGTGCCTCCTTACCCTCAGGCTCAATGTTCGTTCCTGGAGCCTGTGAGGCAAGTGGGGCTTGCAGGGCACTGGGAGACCCCTCTGGCAGGGCTGGGGGGTTGCAGGTCATGCCTGGGGTGCACCAGGCATAGGTGTGTGGGTGGAAGCTGAGGGAGTGGGGGAAGCCTCACATGGAGTACCTGCCAGCAGTGCGTGGACTGGGAACGATGCGCTGTTGGTCCTTCAAAGAAGCTACACAGGGAAGCACAGAGCCCACTCAGGCCAATAGTGTGCAGCTCCAAATCCATGCGCCATGGGGCGGGCCGGGGTGGGGCGGGCCGCCTCCATGTGCGGCTTCCCGCAGGAGTGCAGGCAGCTGCACAAGGAGGTGTGAAGCCCCTTCAGCCAATGTTGTGCAGCTCCCAGTCCACACACTGCAGGCCAGGCTGATCCAGGGGCAGAGGGTGGAGGCAGCTTCCTGCTGCAGCACACACTCCTGGAGAGCCGGGGGGACCCGCGCCCCCCAGATCTGTGTGGGGGGCAAGGGCAGGGCAGGTGCACGCTGCAGGCTCATGCTCCCAGCCCTGCTGCCATCCCTCGGGGCTTCCACAGCGCAGTCTACACGACCCAGCACGGCAGGGCACAGCGGGGACGTGCACGAAGGATGCTTGCCCCTGCGAGCTCCACACTGCACTAGCCACATATCCCGTGTGCCCAGGGGCAGCGCGGGCAGCAGCGCAGGGTTGTACCCCTCACTGCTGCCCCCACCTGCAGGGGACGTGTGGCCAGGGCAAGCAGCTTTTCTGCCCCCACCCTCTGCAGGTCCCCCCTGCCCCCTGGGAGTGCACACCGAGGCTGGGAGCCAGCCCTGCCCCAAAGAGACAGTTGGGGGGGAGCCAACTCCATCTTCCTTCTGCTGTAGCAGCTGCTGCCTTCTGTTGGGTGCAGGGAGCTGAGGACTTAGGTCCCTGGCCCCGTAGCCCTGGCAGCTGGGCCTCTGGCAGGGCTGGGGGTCTGTGGGGGGGGGGTGGGAGGTACCAGTTGTATTGGAGGGCTGTTGTGTGGGGAGTGAGGGGCAAGAGCAGGGTGGGGGGGCTGTAGAGAGAGTGAGGGACACCAGCAGGACTTGAGGGTCAGCTGTGGGGGGCCTTTAATCACAGATTTTGGGTTTCTTATAAGAGAATTTGCAATTTTTAATCAAGGAAAACCAGGATCTCTGCAGATAAGTCATCTTCTGGCCAAAACAGCACCAAGAAAGTGCCAGAAACAGCTTTAGGAACTGGGTAGCCTCAATCCATTTTTCAAACCTTGTTGCAAAAGCCACCCCCTCCCATCATGCTGCTAATTTTACCCAGGACACTGTGGTCTGTGGTAGGAGGAGCGAAGAAAGGAGGTGATTAATATCATGCCCACACTTGCATCATTAGAAGGCTCAGAAACAAAGCTCTCCTTCTGTAGCTGAGGAAAAGTCCTCAGAGGCCCCCGTACCCAAACTTTTCTCTCTCTCTCTAGGGCTGAGAGAGAGTGGCAAATAGAAAGCACATTCAGGATATTTCTTCTAGTCAAGCTCTCACTGCTTGGGCCTTTACTCTCACTGTTCTTAAACACTAAGGAAGCAAGACACAATACAATAAACAGTTAAAGGAGGAACTAAGCAAAATATTGCCTCCTTCATCTACATCACCTTTTCAACTGTGGAAGAAGCAGAAGAGGCCAAGGAGCATGCTCTCTTCCCAAGCCATCAGGAAGCCTGAATGGGCCTTCTTCCCCTCCGGATGGAGGTGGGTCTCAGCCAAAATATGCCTCTAATTCCTTCTCCCCCACCCATGACACAGCCCAGCCCTGCTGCATGGAACCCAAGGTGTGTGCCCCTTGCCCAACCCACACATCCAGAGCCTGGACATCAGCACAGTCCAATGCATTTTAGCAGTGGGTCTCAGCCCCATGAAAAGAAGCAGGTGTGAGGAGCACGTACCTGCTCTGGTCCCAGTTGGCAGCGAAGAGGACCAGGATCTTCCTGCCATAGTGGTCGAGATTCGCAAGCCCACCAGGGAAGCCATCCTTGAGCGCCTGCTTGATGCCTGGGTCGGTGGCCTTGAAGCTCTTGAACATGTCCAGGTTCTGCTGGCGGTACTCAAAGTACTGGGCCAGCAGGCGGAACGCCTCAAAGTGCTGGAACTTCCTGGCCCGCAGGAACCGCAGGATGAAAGCATCGTCTGTGCGGAGGAAGCCAATGTCCGGCCGCGTGATCACCATGTCCCGCACCTCCTGGATGTCCTGGTGCAGAGTGTCTGGGTTCTCGTTCAGCTCCAGCCGGGCTTTCTCCAGCGTCTCCGGGGACAGACCTGCCTGCAAATGAGTCATGGTGCTGCTCCCTCCTCCTCCTCCTCCTCCTCCTCTGCTGCTGCTGCGGCCGGCTGCTGCCTGTTCTCCTGTGCCTTTGAGGCTGCCCCAGGAAGCCTCCTGTTCAGGGGATGGAGCCCCTTCCAGGAGATCCCACTGCCCAGCAACCTCCTGCCCTCACCCTGAACCACACAGCCTCCTGCCCCTCACAGGCTGCCCCCTACTACAGCACCCCCTATCCCCACCAATTTCCTTAGGGAGGGGCTTCACCTGTCCTCCACCCACAGCCAGCTGCTGCAGCCCCCAATGGCAGAGAAGTCCGGGAGGATGCTCACAGCGCTGCCACCTCCACGCTGTCCCAAATAGCCCCTCCGCCACAAATCCCTGGGGTAGTGCGGGGCGGGAGGCAGGCTGGGAATCAGCAGCAATAATATGGAATCAAGGCATTTTATCTGTGTAATAAAAAGCTGGCTTTGTAGTGGGTGTGCAACTGCCACATGATCCGAAGGTGCAAGTGTGGGCAGCAGGACTAACACTGGGCTGGGCTGGGCTGGGCTGGGGTGCGGTGTGAGGGCTGGCAGGAGCTTTCTACCCCGCCCCCGCCCCTGGGTGCTAGGAGTGATCTCACCCCCGCTGGGTTCCCTGTGGGAAGAGGAGCCCCAGCGAAGGATGATAATAAAGTGGCTCCTCAATCGGAGAGTTTCCAGGAGGGGCTTCTCTTTCCCGGGGTCTGCCTCGGCTCAGGGGCATTGAAAAAGAAAAAAAGGAGGGGGAAGGGGAGGGGGGGAGCAGCAAAAAGAAAATAACCTAGCTTGTTGTTGTCTCGGCGCCTTGATTTCAAGACGAGGGCTCCAGAAAACAAGCCTGCCTCTGGCTGGGG